AGCAGCATTGCAGTCAGTGCGTTGAAAATCCTTATCATTTTTCATTTACTGGTAATAACGGTAAATGTTGAATACAACACTAACTAACCAGTCTCATGTTAAGGTATGGTCTTGGCCGTGGTTGCATGTTGCGGCTGAATAACTGCCTATGTTCAAGGAGGCTCGAGCTCGTCTGCTGGTTCCCTGTCGGTGTAGACCTTACCCTACCACTGCTACTGGTTTCTTGTAATAAATTTACAGCCGTTTGTAGAAATCTTGCTGCCTCTGATATGTTTGAATTTTGAGAGTCCGACATGATGCTGTTATCCGGGGTTTGCCAAATGGATGCTGATAGACAATTTCGCGGGATTTTACGTTCCTATGAAAGTACACATTTAATGATGACGTAGAAAAACTTGTGCGCCCTCTAGCGTTAATTCAGGTAATGTCTTTTTTTTGCACGCCATCTAGCGTCAATTTAGTGAATAAATGTTGGTTTTGCATCGGTGATCGTTGGTTTTGCATCGGAGTCTGTTGATTTGACAAACGAGTCTGTTGATTTTATTTTAAGGTGGTCTGTTTTGTATTTCAGTATGTTTTTAAAATTAGTTGTTAGTTTTGCATTAACGTCTTTTTTACCCTTTCCGCCGCCCATACATTTCTTTCTTTTTCGATTTCGACAAGGGATGGAGTCAAAATCTTTCAAAATCAACATCCATTAAATAATATTTACTTTTGATTTTAAAATTAATGGATTACAAGAATTTTACAATACATTGTATTCTGATGTTTTACTTATTTACCTATTACATTAAAAAAGATATTTACAATGGAAAGACAAAGTTTGGATAGATTCCTGAAATGTTTTATCACGGGCACCTGAAGAGTAGATCGATACACTTAGGGTATCGATCCACACTCAGGTGCCTGTGGTTTTACACATGTTTGATCATCTGAGTTTTGTCTGATATAGATATCTCATGGTTCCCGTTAAAAGAAGAAATGAAACATATAGTTAAAGTTTGAAATACATGTATAAGAATTTTACAGAGAACTGTTACATCTGTGACCATATTGATTTAAGTGGCGAACCTTTTATCTAAATTACCAATCAGTAGGTGTTTTACCAGAATGAATAGTTTGACATGGTAAGCTTTGGTAGCTCACTTTTGTAATTATCCAAACTGGTCAAACTAAAGTCATTTGAATCGGATTTATGTTTGGTTCGTACATATGTTTATGACTTGTATAAAATCAACAGATAAAAGCTTAATTTTCAAATATATTGTTTTTTTTTTCTATGGTTTCGAATTTGATTGATATGATATCTCGTAAAAACTCAAAATTTCATTATCGATTAAGGTAAAAATGATTACTTTAATCCAATTTATTGATTGAATTTAATTTTTTTTCATGTATAATTATAGTTCTTAACGGGGAGGCCTTCACGTTCACACGACAATTGCTTGGCAACAGTATTTATTTGTTGTTTTCATTTGAAACAATGTGTATTTTACCTGTAAATAGGATACCTGCTGACTTCCGCACGTTCACATTTATGTGTTATAAGTTTATTTAATTTAAACAATATTTTATTCACAGATGTAAAAGTAACTAGGATTGGGCAGAAGGCTCAGCCTATTTTAGCCCTCTCCCTACATCAAGGTCAAAGTGAATACATAATAAATTAATAATTGAAGCGAAAGAAAACATGTACAAAAGAAGAAATGAACAAAGTTTCAGAAAAGAAACGAGCAAAAGTAAAAAAAAAAAAAAAAAAAAAAAAAAAAAAAAAAAAGCCAAGAGTACAAAGTAGTACCGGTTTGGAAATATTGAAAATGTTACAATATACCACATATGTATATGACAGTGTTATAAGTTTATTTGAAAAAATGAAAGTTAAAAAACACATGAATGGAGTTGTAAATAAATTTATTTTTCCATAAAATAGTTTAATTACACATACAAAAATGGAGTGAATGACAAGGTGAAGATAACGAACAGTGATCGATCTCATAAAAATCTCTGTTAAACCTTTAAAAATTATTTTCTATATAAATTTATATTAAAAGAAATCTTACATTTGCAAAGTTTTAATGAGCAGTCCATTGAAAAAATAGATGTTTGACAGCAGAGTGTGATATTGGACCTGTCGATGAGATTTGTATTCGTTGGTGTTTGAGACGAAATTGACCGAGTTTGTAGTAAAGGAAATTTACATCATGGAATCCAGCACATGAAACATGTATGTAAATAAAATAAAAGGTATAACAAAACATTTATTACTGTATTTACGGGCAACAGGCGTTTTGCCGACCCTCGGCCTCAGGCAAACAGTTTGGTTCTTGGGGTCCGACAAAACGCACGTATATATACTCGCCTATAAGTCGGTCTGCCTATAAGTCGGTGTTATTTTTTAAGCTTATATTACAGGGCTTGACCCTCTAAAATACCAATCTTTTTATAACTCGCCTATAAGTCGGACATAGAGTTTTGGACCAAAACTTAACTCCCAAAAATCCGACTTATAGGCGAGTATATACGGTACGTTGCCCTCGAACCCAGTCAAAAATGTATAATAATCAATACAAATTGTGAGCGGCATAAAACACGGACCCCTGGAATTTGCAGATATGGAATCAGGTGCCCAGGAGAAGTAAACATCTCCTGTTGACCGGTCACACCCGCCGTGATTCCTTTGTATAGATCAGGTAAACGGAACATTCAAAAGTCAAATTCAGTATAAAAACAAAGGTCTACCTATTGGTATGAAACACGTCAGCCAACATACGACCCAATAACAGGTATACTTGCTAACAAGGTCATGATAACGACCATAGAATTTACGAAATGCTTACTTTAAAAGGGGTTGTTGAAATCCTTGTAACATCAACTTATCTGTCAGTAGCCTGTCTCTGTTTAAAAAATGATCGTGCTCGGAGCATGCTATTCAGTATCGAATAAACTGGAAGATGTAAACACCACTGCAGGTGATAGAGGGATATTATTACGTAAATATGGAAAGTTGACGGTGGAAAAGCTGAAGTCATCTCGTTTGTCATACTATTTAGTTGTTAGTTTGCCTTTATCGTCTATAATCAGTAAAACATCCAAATATGAAACAGAAGATGTAAATAAATATGACCTACATGTAGGTAGGAGAGTGAAATTACCCACCGTGAAATGTACTAGAGAGAAATAACCTACGAGAGAAACAGTTTTAGATAGAAAGGACTCGACACCATGTCAACCGTGCGAATGGTCAATAGGGATGAAACGTCCCGTTAACCCTACAGTATACGTATTAAACACTGCTGTAAGCCAATAACAAGATTTGTAAGTTTTTTGAAAAGTTTATTAAACAACCGTGATCGTATAGATTTTTAAATGCTTGTTTCTGAAATTTCACCAGAATAGACCAATACTCTAGTTGTAGCAAAAGTTTTAAAGATCCGTCCCAAAGATTCCCGAAGAGCGTAGACATTTTGCTAAACCCTATAGGTTTACACTGCCCATACTTTTGTTAAAATGTTTAACAGCTGTTTTATTTCTGAACAATTTTTGAACAAGTGAGACTTTAATAACGTTACAGCTATTTATCAAGAAACACACACACAATGTGTTTGTTGTCCCACATAAAAGTTAAATTGCGTCCTTCTGTTTCCACCGATTCCTAATACTGTACTTCGCATGTTGCCTTTAAGACCTGTTTTCCAATTGGAGATGAAGTTTTATGGCCAGTTAAAATAACAGTCAAGAAATAAAATCCAATGGCTTTTTAAAGTCGTCGTTTAGTCTTGTTTTATGTCTTGTTTTATATTTCATTCAAAAAAATAATTTGGATGTAGTAGCCCTACCCTGTACCCTGTAGGATAAAATGACTGAAACACTTCTGAAAAATGAGCTCTTATTTGTTTGAAACTGTATACGAGTATATAAAGGTATCATACATGACATCTATTACATACATGAATACTACTGAACAGTTATATACAAAGTAATAGTGATACATTCATGTAACTGTTTATGAAAATCTTTTATAATAGCTTTTTTTTTCAATTAGCATGATGCCATTTAACCTAAAAGAAAATTCAACTCATCTTAAACCATGTAAACTGAAAATTTGATTTATTTATTGATTAATTAATGTTGAAAAATACCTCAAACAATCTGCAGTTTTCCTCTTTATTATTTTTCTGACACCCCCCCCCCCCCCCAATTTGGTTTCACCTCAAACAGCCTTTCTGCAATAGCTGTTAGTTTGTATTCGGGTTTGAGATCCAGAATAAGAGGCTGCAGTAAAACCGAAAGTTAGAGACGAAGAAGAACACAACTGAAAAAAAATAAAATGAATTCACTCAGTTCTTCTGCATGCATTATCATGTTTTATCATTGTTGCTGCACATAGATCACTGAACAGTCGGGGGACTTGTCTACATTAGGCCAAGGTTTAAACTTGTGTAAAATGGTAATATTAGAACTGAGCGGCTACGGAAAGTAGGTCAACTTGTCAAGGTAAAGAAATATTTTTCTTTTTTGTGTTACACGTGTCTGTATCGAAAGCATGGCAAAAATACAGTTGGTGTACTTCCAAGCCAGGGGTAAGTACGTGTATTATGTAATGTGCATGTTGTTTATCATGTCGACAATTATGTTGTTTAATTATGTAAATAGGGATACGAAGTTTTTCGTCGACACAAATATATATGAGATAAATCGTCCTTCCAGGCTCGTTAATGAATTCGTACATCCGTTACACAGTTGTATAATGGATGTATCTGTTTGAAATATTTAAAAAGAAATCATGAACAATTGGTAGACATTATAGAATACATAAGACAATGCTATATATATTGTTGCTATTTTTTTTAATTTTAATTTAATTTAAACAGGCATAGCCTACATCCACTTTAAACTGGTTGTACATTGTAATCTATTCTTGTCAACTAAATGCATATAGCATGTGTGGGAAGAGCCTGTGTTAATGAATTTTATCAATATCTTCAGTGTAAACAAAACTGTTATGATCTAAGACTAACGATGATTTCGGTTTTATTATTTTTTCCACAGGGCGTGGTGAGTCAATAAGGACTCTCATGGTTGACAATGATGTTGATTATGAAGAAATTGATTGTGGACCATGGGACAACTGGATGAAGAATTGGAAATCAAAAATGGTCAGTCTGCTACATCATGTACATGTTATTATTTCGTAGATTTCTATAAGGAATTAACATTCATATTCCATTGCTTGGTGAAACAAAATTTTGGATTAATATATGTTAAAACAAAATTTTATTTAGTTAGATGACAAAATTGATGACTTATCTTTAGATATGTTTTTTTTTTCATATTTTGAACATCTTTTAAATTAAAGAACATGAACAGCTGGAGAATTATTTGCCAGCTAAATAAAGCACAAAACAATCATAATTACTATAATGTTTGCAGATGCCAAATCACAGGGTTGTACCCTCCTTTTAAAAGGAGAAAAAATGATTGATTGATTGATTGATTGTATGTTGTGGCGAAGGAACAGTTGCTACCTATTTTTTATCGATCTGTCGCGGCTGTAGTTCAAACACACGACCTTTCGATCACGGAGCGAGCGCTCTACCGTTCAAATGACCAAAAAATTCTCCTTTTCTTTCTTTTTATTCCCAAGTTGTAATTAAATAAAATATGAAGTGATTCTTGGATTACAAAGAAATACTCGTGAATATTTAGCGTAAAAACCTTTTAAGAACGATCGAGGGGTTTTCGAAAGCATAACAAGGTAAACACGTGGGCTTGTTTACAAGTAGAATTCATAGTTTCATACAATATTCAAAAAAGTGTTTATTCAACAAAGTAGAATGTTTGGTTTCTCTTCTTTTTCATGTTTCGATTCTGTCAATTAGTTTTCCACAACTTCTAATATACACTCCTGAATCTCGAGTTTACGACTGAAGCGAAACTAGTCAGTGCGCATATGTGCTTTATCAGCAGTCATTGTATTTGTTGTCATACAAGAATAATAATTTTTTTAATCTTCCAATTTCAGTTGCTATAACGGTTGGGAAGGAGAGTGTGTAATTTTTAGAAGATATATATATCTTTATTTACGTCTAAATTTATTGGTTCCCTTTTAATAAAACCTCCACATTAGACATTAATTTGTCGAAATGCGAATCTGGTGCATCAAAATAAGATTTACATTATAACCACTGGGTCGAAGCCGCTGCTGGTGGACTGTTTATCCCCGAGGGTCTCTACAGCCCAGTAGCTAAGTACTTCGGTACTACCTTGAAAATACGAATAAATATTAATTGCTGTGGAATTTAGAAATTTGTTCCAAAATTAAGGATTATCTCCCTCATGCATACATGTAGCTCTGATCCTCCGACAACTTGTCTCAAGTCTTTTGTACCCCCCTTTTCAGCTCTTTAAAGTTTTTTTTAATTAATTTAATTAACTATTTCGGCATGAGTATCACTGAAGAGACATAATTTGTCGAAATGCGCATATGGTGCATCAAAATTGGTACCGTATAAGATTTACATTATCTGAAGAATTCCTAAGTACTTCAAGGAAATATTTAGGGCTTAATTAAGACCCAGAATTCCAACTAATATGTTAATTATTAACATATTAGTCGGAATTCTGGGTCTTAATTAATTAAATTAATTTATTAAATAAGAAAAAAATATTTACTACTATTCCCTAAGAAATAGGTTAGAATAATTTTAAAGCGGCCGGTACCAGTTGCTGAAAATCAAATTTCAAACCAACATTCATCAAGCATCCTCATGTGAATAAATTAGAGATATGAAATGTATGTCTTCTGGTCAAAGGTGCTAAATGGGCGTACATTAAAAAAGTAATATACATTATAATTTAAAAGAACAGTAATACCTCTTCCAGAATTGTAGTTCAGGCTCCTGTGAACTGTGGATATATTGAAAACTCAATTTTACTATATGTAACTGTAAATCAATGACCTATTGGTCCTTTACTATATTGTAAAAACTGCAGCCCTCAAAATGGGTCAAAGTTAATCTTTTATTTAAAATGTACATTTTTTTTTATTTTCACTATTCTCTCTTACTCCTGAGCATATGGAAAAAGCTTAATAAAATGTTAAAATTTACACAGAGTCCTCACCTACTGGTAATAATTCATGTAATATCATTTGAAGTCCTCAGTTTGTCAAATCCCGAGGAACTCTTTAAGATCAGGTTAACGTCAAGGCCCACAGGCCTCTTTTTCATATACTAGTAAGATAAGAGGCATGATGGTTTAAATAGATTGTGCAATTGTAAATGCAGTGTTAAATTTCCATGTTGTTTAAGTGTTGTCATAAGAGACTTTTGTTGATAAAAAGGAAAGAGATGTAGATGTCTGAAATAGTGTCTCGAACAAAACAGCTGTTCATGATCATTTTTAAAGAGAATGTGATCAATTACTACTCCGCTATTTACTGAACATATCGAGTTTGTATCTTGATGGATGGGGAATGCTAAAGCTACTGCACAGTGTCTTATTTTTATCCATAATAAATAGATCAACAGATGTATTCCATTATCAGAGTTTTGTACATATGCTACTGTATATACAGCTGTAATTGTACAGGGAATTTAATCTGCTGAATATGCGGTTATCATGATAATTATAACAAAATAGGGGGAATAAAGGACAGCATAACATTAAAGTTAAAGCAATAGATTTACATAAAAAGTTCAAGGCTATTTTTCTACAAATCAACCTGATGGATGGTTTAGTGTCAATTGTCAACACTTCACTTGCAGGCAAACTAATTTTGAGACATAGGAAATAATTATCGAAAGGTTGATTTTATTTGTACTAATTTAGAGAATGGTGTGATAGATAGTTAATTTGTTTGTATTAAATATATTTTCCCTTTATTTACGTTCTATATTTATGATAATAGATATTTTAATCTATTACATTTATTTCATAATACATAAGCAAATCTTTGAAAAGAAAAACGATGATGATGATAATAATAATAATAATAATAATATGCATATTTATATAAATCTTTTTACACATGCAATGCCATAAATGGATTATCCTCACAACAAAGTCTATACACAACCCCCTATAGCAGTAATACAGGAGGACAGGACCCCTCCTTGTAATTACAAAAATAACTGTATAACAATAATATGATACAGGAATCAGTCAAAAAATACAAAGACAAATCGTAGAATTCTTTCACATTTACTCTAGTTTCTAGCTTCCCATAAAATTTCTTGGTAATATAATAAATTTCTAAATACATATTTTAACCTCTGTATTGGTTTCGGATCTATTATCAAATCTTAATCTCTTCACGTATAAAATCCCAAGTCTTGTCCAAAATAAGGACCGTTGATTTACTTGAAAGTTGTTATTAAACCAGAAAAATAAGCGACAATACTTTATCTGTTTATGCATATATACTTTCTTTCTTTTTTATAGTCATTAAAACTCATAAAATTTCACAGTAGAAAGTTGGTAGTTCTTGAAAAGCATTTTCAGACCACGAATGTATGTACTGTCAGTCTTTAATAGATATTTAAGATCTAGTGACTGTTAGTCTAAACACGATTTTAAAAAAAAAGTTTTAATCGTAGAGTCGTTATTTGATGTCCTCTTTATCCAATAGCTTTCAATGATTTAAATTTGCCTTCCACAGAATAAACATGGTTTGTTTCCTTAAAATGTTTTAATTAGATATACATGTACTGTATATACTCCAGATTTTTCTTCAGACCATAACTGAGGCAAATTCAAAATCATATCCTATCAGGTTATTTGTGGAAATTCCTGATTGAGACAAAACCGGTTTGATATATCCATTATTGTCTCAGCCTTTCCAATTGAAAGATCAACTATCCCAAGAACTGATGTCTTCACCTATGAAAAATAATGGAAAAACACACTATTCATTTAAGGATACATAACACAAACAAAAATTTGATGCATGGATCGATATATATATGGATGGATCGATATATATATATATATATTTTGACTGATTTTGAATGGAAATGAAACCAATCCCTAAAATATAAAGAAATCGTAGGTTTTCTTTGGTGCTTAGATATGCGACTTTGTATCGTTTTGTATGTATTTTTATATAAAATTTGTTTGACATTGTGACAAAATCTTGCAAAATTCTCATACTTTACCTGGAAAAAATAATTCAGGTTACCTATTTGAATATTAATCTATAAGAAATATTGCTGATTTCTGAAAATAACTTTTTCTTATTTTTAATGGTTAAAAATTAAAAACCTAAACATACCCCACTTTCTTGTGTCAAATATGTCGCAATAATAATTAAAAAAAACAATAAATATTAATTGCCATGTGATATGGAAAATGGTATTTTTATTCTCTATATAAGGTAATTTATCACATAAACTATCAATAAATCTTGCAGAAAACTTGTATCATAAACTAACTGTATGAATAGAAAATTCTATGACTCTTCGGACTGTATGGATATATAAAAAACCTATGTCGGACAAATATAATCTTAGCCAATATACTTAATTTGTATCACAAAAACATAAAAATTTGTATTAAAAGGCAGTTAACAGAGAGGTGCTTATGAAAATAAAATTTGTATTATCTCATTGTCACAAAAAGGACAGTGAATTACGTAATGAATGTTTATTCCAATGAAACGATTTAACTTTTCATGCTGTCCTTCTATAATTTATCGGGTATATAGTTCTATGTAATAGATAAAGAAAAAAAGCATTTCCTTTATCCTAAAAAAAAAAAATCAGTATTGTCTATAAAATTCCAAAGTTTTGCGACCTACGTTATTATATATGTCTATTTTAGCTCTACCGGTCAGAGACCAGAAGAGCTTATGCTATAGTAAGGAGTCCGTCGTCCATTTGTCTGTCTAGCTGTCCGTCTGTCTGTCTGAAAACATTTTTTTTTTCAAAATGCTACTCCTCCTACAGTTTTGGTCTGATTTCAATATAACTTGGGACATAAGTAGACTAGACTACGATACATTGTTCTGTTTATAGGTTTTTTATTTCAATGAACGGCGTTGCTATGGTAACTAAAAAGAGAAATTTCTGTGAAATACTTTCAAATCGCTACTCCCCTTACAGGTTTTGTCTGATTTTCATATAACTTGACATACAAAAAGACTATACTAAGATGCATAATTCTATATATCGGTTTTTGATTTTGATGAGCGATGTTGTTATGGTTACTAAAAATAGAAATTTCTTTCAAATACTTTCAAAATGCTAGTCCTCTATGGCATGTCAAACGTTGCAATATTCGATCTTTTGCATTTGCATTGTATAATTTTCCATTTGCATTGTATAATTTTTATTTGTATTGTATAATTTTCTATTTGTATTGTATAATTTTTCATTTGTATTGTATAATTTTTATTTGTATTCTATAATTTTCTATTTGTATTGTATAATTTTCATTTGTATTGTATAATTTTTATTTGTATTGTATAATTTTCCATTTGCATTGTATAATTTTTATTTGTATTGTATAATTTTCTATTTGTATTGTATAATTTTTCATTTGTATTGTATAATTTTTATTTGTATTCTATAATTTTCTATTTGTATTGTATAATTTTCATTTGTATTGTATAATTTTTATTTGTATTGTATAATTTTCCATTTGCATTGTATAATTTCTTATTTGTATTGTAAAATTTCTTATTTGTATGCGATAATTTTTCATTTGTATTGTATCCGCGGACTGTTTATTTGTTTCGTTACGAAGGATTTCATTGGTCAAGTTTCAGCCTGTATCGGGTTGAAGATGTTCCGGATGCTCAAAGCAAACTGGGCTCATATGTATTTGCTTGCTTGATTGATTGATTATTGTTTAACGCCGAGTCGGCAATATTTCAGCCATATTTCGGCGGCATATGTATTTGCGTGCATTTTAGACGGTCATTGGATTCTAAAAAGGGAGCGCTGGTAGATGGCAAATAAATAATCTGTCCTTAGGAATGCTGACTGAGAAAATAAATAAATTGACCTTGAGTGGTGGTAACTACCCCCACCCCCAAAAAACTGAGTTTTCGGGTTTGGGCGGATTTTCTTCTTTTTGTTTTTCTCCTTGTCTCTGGTCATATTGGAAATAAATATTCTCTCCTGCGAGAGAATGAAAATAAATAATCGGATTCGACACCCCCCGAGAATCAAATGGTCGTCCCTTAGCATGCACCGCAAATAGAGGAGCCGAGTTTGTGTTTGTAGAGAGTGCGCGATCGGAATTGTGGGAAGGGTACCAGACTAAGTTTGTGATGGGCACCTGAGACCTTTATACAGACTAAATTTTATGACCAATGACATCCTTCGTAACGAAATAAATAAACAATCCTCGGATACAATACAAATGAAAAATTATCGCATACAAATAAGAAATTATCGCATACAAATAAGAAATTATACAATGCAAATGGAAAATATAGAATACAAATGAAAAATTATACAATACAAATGATTTTTTTACAACACAAATGGAAAATATAGAATACAAATAAACATTATACAATCCAAATGGAAAATTATAAAATCCAAATGGAAAATTATAGAATACAAATAAAAATTATACAATACAAATTGAAAATTATACAATACAAATGGAAAATTATACAATACAAATGAAAAATTATACAATACAAATAAAAATTATACAATACAAATGGAAAGTTATACAATACAAATGGAAAAGATCGAATATTGCAACGTTTGACATGCCATAGTCCTCCTAAGCTTTGGTCTGATTTCAATATAAAATGGCACACAAGTAGACTAAACTAAGACACAAAATTCTGTATATCGGATTTGAACGGTATTGCCATGGTTAAAAAAAAATAGAAATTTCTGTGAAATTCTTTCAAAACACTACTACTCATAGTTTGGTCTGATTTTAATATAACTTGGCATGCAAGTTTTTCATTTTGATGAATGATATTGCCATCGTTACTAAAATAAAAGAAATTTCTGTAAAATTCTAAAAGGGTCCACCTCCTACAGGTTTAGTCTGATTGCAGTAAATCTTGCCACAAAAAGAGACTAAACCAAAGATCATTATTCTATTTATTGCTGTTGCAAAGTTTCAAAACCAGTGCTACATTTCTTTTCCTTTATTATAAGTACAAATCAGTAGAGCTACAGTCTCTTCATACACTTCTGGTTAATAGAACAGCTATATAGATATTAGGGATGTCAATTTTGTCAATAATTCATATTCAAATATTCAATGAAAGTATTCGAATATATTCGAATATTCGATGAAATAAATAAAATCTGTTTTATTTTAAATATGCATCATCCTACTCTCGTAGGTATACTTATATAGGAAGTAAAATTGTAAGAAGACTTTTGTAGGTGTACAATAAGAAATTCCATTTGATATTTGTCAATGTTTGAAATAAATAATTGATTTAAATGTAGAAAAGTATAACTTTAACAAATGAAACGTGTATTTATAGTAGCCCCACCTGAGGAACCAGTTGTCTCACAAAAGGCAAGATAGCCGTAACGGTATACTGTTCAGATTTCAATACGTGTAATAAATTACAATTATCTGCCTGATAAGAGATATGATTATAATCTTTGATACAATGTAAACAGATATTTCCACAGACAATTTTCCTAGGTAATTAACTAATTTCCTGATAATGAATAAAAAATTCAGGATTATGTACAACCCGAGATAATCAAGTAATTTACACATTTATTCTGAAATTAAGCCCTTTACAATATTAATTACAGATTAATTCTATCGGACATTCATTCAATGATCAATTAATTTTATTTTGATAAGTATACTCTTCACGCCTTTTAGATATTCTTAGATTTCATTTGTTGTCCTCGATTCTAGATCCGATCGTATCTATAACTAATAAAAGCTATGGAAGTACGTTTTATGTTATACATAAAGCATTATTGTACAATTCTTTACAACACCTTACTCAAAACCAAATACATGTAATTTAGAAGATTTATAAGATAAGAAAGTAGTGAAAGAAATCAGTCGATCGAAATTGATCGCTAGTAAATTAAACAGGGATAATTCCAGCACTGTTCTAATCAAAATTTATTAATCACAGTACTTTTTATGAAATCTGAAAAACACCGAATATTCGGATCTTAAATTCATATTCGAATATCAACTCATCGAATGAATATTCGAATGTTCGAATATTCGTTGCCATTCCTAATAGATACAGAATGCCAATTATAAAGGTAATAAAAGGATTAATTGCCCAGCATCATTTATTTTTTTCAGGCATTTGGCCAGTGTCCATATGTTAAAGATGGAGATGTAGAGGTTGTACAGTCCAACGCAATTCTGAGATATCTGGCTAGGAAACTGGGTAGGCATGAAAATGTGTCTTGCCTTATAAAATATTAGCGCATAAGATATTCAGATAAATAACAGCACACAAAATATTTAGATAAATGTACTGTAAAGCAACCAAAAAATTAACTTGTAATTACGATAAACAAAAAAGAATTTACAACCATCTTGGACTGGATACATCTTAATCTCATACAACACATTCATGGTGGGTTCATATAATACTGGTATATATTTTGCAATTCATAATATTAATCAGATTTGTATGGTTCGAACAATAAGGAAGCAACAAGAGCGGACATGATCAATGATGGAGTGGAAGATCTGAGAAAGGAATACACAAGGATGATTTATCAGAACTATTTAAGTATTCTTTTCTTCTGAGAAATAAAATATCAAAGTACATAGAGGATATTCAATGTTTTGCAGTGGGATACGGAATTTATTTCACGAGTGGGACAGGATGTTTTGATATTTTCACGAGTACGAAGCACGAGTGAAAATATAAAAAAAAAAATCCTGTCTCATTAGTGAAATGAATTCCATATTCAACTACAAAACATTGAATTTTCTGTTTATTACATTTTCTTTGAATTTCCCTTTGCCTCTGTCTTTTCTTAACACAGTGTCATAGGCTGTGACATCATAGTCAAGCGGTTGAGACGTCAAAGCTTAGCAGTTGTAAGTTACATCGATTTTAGCATCATATTTGGGAAGAAATTGACAGTTTTAGTCTCTATCAAGACGATTTAGTTTCTTATGACAGGCCAGAAATTATTTTTTCCATACTTTGATATCCTTTCACGCTTTGTCAGAATATCACTTTGGTATCCTTCCAGACTGTGAGAGAATATCACTTTTATTCAATAGATAAACCACAGTATTTCACCATTGAAAATGTAATAATTTCAGCTCTACCAGATGTTATAAATGAAAACAATTGTTCACACACAAGAAAATCACATTTTGTTGACTCTAAGGAATATACAAGAAAAAAAGTTTGGTCAATGCTATACGATGTTGTCACAAGCATGTATTTATACTTTAGGGGGTTAAATTTTCAGTTTTAGTCACCATCAACATGGTTTAGGTACTATCTCTTTCGTATAAGAGGCCAGAAATTATTTTTACTTCCTTTGATATCCTTTCACACTGTGCAGAATATCACTTTGGTATCCTTTCAAAGTGTGACAGGATATCATTTTTATTCAATCAATAAATCACAGCATTTCATTGTTGAAAATGTAATTATATCCATTATGCAACAAAGTCCTATTGGAAGACATTCGACATGTATAAAAACACAATAACATTGTGTTGTTTTTAAAATGTCCTATACTGGAATAGTCATGATAACGAAATATGACATTTGTTCAATATATTTTCTACAGGAGGAAGGAAAGGGTCCATTTATTGAAGAACTTCCGGGAAAAATACAGTATTTTGAGGTTTGTAAGAATTCAGCTATGAGAATTCTATAGGTCTGGTTTTAATTAGAATATGGTATAATATTTTTCATATGCCCTTTTAAAAAGAGAAGACTTTCTTCTTGGCGTTTACATTGACTTAATCATTATCAAAATAAAAAAATATCTTGGAAAAGTGTGCATGAAGCAACAAGTATTCAAAAGTGAAAGTATTGATACAAAATACAGTTCTCAGTTTCTTGTAGAGAACTATCTTCGTTAGAGAAATATGCATGTAGGTTCCATATCATATGCGAGTTAGTCACCGATTTTTCTCGAAGTAGAGTTCCGTAATATTTTAAATTGAAAATAGGCACGAGGCTTACCGAGTGTCTTAAGCTACTGACAATAGAAAAGTTAAGGACAGACGATACATTCCTAAATAATATATAATTTTCTCTAAGAAGTATTGCTACTTTAACATGTTTACTAACAAAAAAATTAAGGTACCTTACCAGACATTTGGGTAAGATAACAGATAATGGTTTTCTTATATAATCCTTTTGGAAATAACTTAAATTGCCAATATAAATTTTTTTTAGCATTTTGAGTTTTTAAAGACAATCAAAAACCAGTTTAAAAATCATAAGGTTATTATAATTTTACACATTTTTTATACATTACGAAGATATACATAGAAAAGTCTGACCTTAAGGAGCCATAGTTGGAGAAAAATTATAACTAATGAGATGATATTTATGGAACCTTTTTCTCCCTTTACTCTTTAAGCTACTAATTAATTTTTTTCAAACTGTACATTATTACTGAAGAACGCTCACAAACCAAAATTAAGTAGCACAGCGTCACGTCATAATAGGTGTTTATTAAAGTGATTGAGAACTTAAAAAAAGGATCCCTGTACGGGAGTGGTGATGGGAGAAAAAAAGTTCCAATATAGAAATCTATAGTGCACTGCATTGTTGTTGGCCTACATGTATTATTTATTTAATGATATTATCCAAGCAATTATTTTTATTTTTTAATTTTGTAGAACTTGATGAAAGGTGGTGATTATGTATTGGGAAGCAAGGTTTGTTATAATCAACTTTAAGATTGCTAAAATATTCAGCTACTTAAAGAATCGATTATATTTCTCTTTGCAGCTATACATGTATGTATCAGTTAATGTACTAAAAGAAAAACATGTGTCAAAATAAAGTGCAAAACAAATAGTAATTATACATCACTTATACAGAAATTAGTTTTATTGACAGGTTTGCTTTACGGACTATAATCTGTTTGACCTTTTGGACTGTCTGGTGACCTTATCTTCCCCCTGCCTGGACGCCTTTCCTACATTGAAGGCCTATTATGATCGCATGATGAACAGACCAGGTGTCCAGAAAAGAAGGGCAACAGAACACTTCAAAGGACTTAAAATCAACGGAAATGGGAAGCAGTGAACATATCGGTATTAAATGATACATCAAAACATGTAACTATCTGAATTCTCACAAATTTAACCTGTAGGAAAAAGAGAAATGACTGTTTGGTCTAAGTAGACTATTTATTAAAGTATATAAGTAAGGTGTGAATTTCAAGTAAGGTTAAATAGACTTGACACTAAGTCCTCAGATAACTTTTTAGATGTCTTCTCATTGTCTACCTTCACAATTTATCCTTGTCAAAAGTTTCGAGTTTCGGATTTTAGTGTGAACTAAATTTAACAGAAATCCAGAATTCATTCTGAAAAAGGGTTTCTTTAGAGATGTACATAGTTTTATAAAAGGGATGAAATTAAGATTTTATTATTTTTCTTCACTAGAAGCAGTGAGGGTGAGAGGGGATGTGTGTGTGTTTGTGTCTTTTGTGTTCGCAAAAACGTTTGCTACATTTTATTCTTGTATTTTTTGAAAGACATTCTCTTTGATAGCAACATATACAAACAATGTTCTGTTTTTTTTGGTTCATTTTAGGAAGAAAACAATGAAAGACAAGTGGTTAGATCCTTTGAATAAATACTCATTTATAGAGAATAAACTTTAATTGCTGTTTTACTAACACTGAAAAATGTCTTCGATATTTTTCTAAATTAATTAGTAGAATTAACATTTTAGTGTATGCAGCCATTAACTTCTTTGAATAAACATTTTTCAGATTGTCTTTCAATGAATCCTTTAGTTATGTATCCTATGAAATGCCAAAAATAGTCACTTCACCAAAGTATACACGACAGACCGGACGTATTTCGCAGTGGTCCGAATTTCTTTCTTAAAGAGACACCGTGACAGAAAATGGGAAAATTGACAAAAGTATAGAATCTTTCCATGGCAGATGCAAATTTTCTTCAATTTTTGAAAGTATTAGGTTTCAGAAAATTGAATGTAGGTTTCAAACAATTACAGGTTTCAGAACTAAAAAAAACAACTTTTATGGAGAAAAATATAAATAATAATAATTCTTGTCTGGCTCAACACGAAAATATTGCTTCACTTCGTCGTCTTTAATGTACGCATTGCAGAAAAGTTGAGGAAGTTACCATGATTTCAATTTCATAGATAGGATGATCGATGATTTTGATACAATCTTCAAAAAAGATGATAGAAACTTTCTCACTTTTGTTTGCTCCAATTCAATTTTATTTACAAGTTTCACGCTAAAAATAAAAGATACGTAACCTTTATATTCTTGACATTGGCGATTACAACCACGCGATAGATAAAACCTTTATTTATCCGGCAATTATATTTTGCAGTGACTGTCTTTTCATGCTTTGCAGTGTCAAAAATTCTATTTATTCATATTTCACATAAATCTTTTGTTTTATGATACAACTATTTAAAAAAACACACATAATTTTGACTCATTATGTATCTTTAACAATTGGTTATAAACTTTCAAATTAATTAAACATGTAACATTATAAATTTATAATGTCTGGTAGTTTAGTTGTAGTGCTTATGGCTTCATGACTTTTTCTTTGTCCTGATGAAGGAACAGTTCCGACATATAACATATACAGTGTTTTTGGTTTTCTAGTGCTATATTATACAGTTATTGACTGGGTATGAGGGCAACATATGATTTGTTGGACCTGAAGGTGAAAATGTTGCCCGAGGCCGCAGGCCAAGGACAACATTTTCAACTTCAGGTGTGTAACACAATGAGCGTTCAAATTATAATTTTAATTGATATATTAAGTTTGTACATTGAGTTTATTAATATATAAAATATTGTGTTTTGAATTATAATTGATACTATCAGTGTGTAGAGCGACGGACAATAACTTCTTAATTATGATCTTGTTTACAAACTCTGGGAGATTGGATGCAATAAGTGAGCGTCTTCATTTGACGGACAATTAGTTTTTACGATGTGTTGTTCTCTAACATTGACACTTCCAATCAGACTTTGTGCAAAGCTGCAACCATCTAATTAACTGAAGAATGTGCAAGATACACAATGTTAATGTAAACAGAGGATATTGCCTTATCCTATAAGGAGATTAGACAGCTTCAGTGAGGTTCGGACTATATTAATATTAATTATGTGACACTGTAACTTACTGATTGTTATTACCAAATACGTGATCCCTATGATGCAGCTTCTTGTACAAAAGATGTGCGCACTGAGTATCAATAGCTTTTTAACATCTTAGCTCTTACAATGACTACGAGAGCTTTTTAACATCTAAGCTCTGAGACTGAATATGTGAGCTTTTCACCACCTTAGCTCCGAGACCTACAGCCATTGAACTTTTCCTATGTATCATTGTTTTTGCCTTTGCTGTGACTTTATAATAAAACTATAAACTTACAAAAGTCTTCTTAATCCAAACACATTGAGTAATTGTGTTATATAACGGATTAATTGGTGCCGTGGACCAGGACGCAGAACGGGAAGTCTCTCAACGCTGGAAAGAGAAAGACATTCAAGACTACTGTAAGTAACTGTTTTATTATACCTTGATTTTTTAAGTATGGACAACCAAGACATTGGAAATGGTTTTGACTTGGGAGGTGCCTTTATGACCTTGTCGACTGTATTAGAAACTAAATTTGATGGTCTTGATTCTACAGTTAAAGGTTTATCAAATGCAATTGGTACAAATGGGATTTCAAATGTAATAACACCATATGAGGGGGATCCTAGCAAATTCAAAGATTGGATAAAATCAATTGAAAAATATTCTTTCATGAACAAACTATCAGATGAAAAAGTCAAAATTGTGGCTTATGGTTCTAGCCGTGGGGCAGTTTCAGACTTTATTCAACGAAGTCTCACAAATAACCCAGGGGGGACCTGGAATGATTTGAAAAGTGAGTTATCCACAAGATTTGCTGAAGTAACAGATCCTCAACATGCATTCATGTTATTAAGAAAAGTTAATCAAAAACCCGAAGAAAATGTTCAGATTTACGCTGAAAGATTATTGTCATTGGCTGAAGAAGCATATAAAGGTCTCGAAGGAGGACCTTCAGTTGAACGTCAATTGATTGGAATATTTGTTGATGGCTTATTACAAGACAAATTGAAATTCAAGGTTATGCGTGAAAACCCTGCAACTCTACAAGCAGCTATAAACTGCGCAATGGCTGAACAAAACCTGTATAAGCGATTCGAACTCAGGTCGGGTAGGCAAACCCATATACCCATGGAGGTTGACCATTATAGATCTAAACGCCCTTCAAAAACAATACCGAAGAGAAAAAGTATTTATTCTGTAAATCGAGCCACAAATTATCAGAGTGTTGAATGTTGGAATTGTGGAAAGAAAGGACACATTAAACGAAATTGTAAAAAGCAAACTAAAGATAAGTTAAACGAGTAAACTCCTTTCAAAATAGGGCCATTGTAAGGAGTAAACATTTGCATGAATCAAAGAATAAAAACATTCCAAATTTCAAAATTAATATTGCAGGAAATCCTAATTCTTGTATTATTAAGATTAACGGTCAGAAATTTCGCGCACTTATAGATTCTGGTGCAGAAGTCTCATTGATTCATTCAAAAGTTTTTAGGTCCTTTCATAACAATCCACATTTATCAAAAGAAAGAGTCAATTTACAATCTGTAAATGGTGATGCATTGAAAATCAAAGGAAAAGCAAATGTCAGTTTTCAAGTTGGTGGCATGACTTTGAATCATCCGTTTTTTGTCATTGAAGAAATGAATAGAAATGTCATATTGGGGCGCGATTGGTTGATAAAGAATGGTGTGCGCTTATACTATGATTTAGGGTCTTTTAGAATAGGGAAAACATACATTCCATTTCAAGAAGATATTCATATCTCTGCAATTGTAAGAGCAACTAGAAAATCTGTAATCAAACCTCAAACTGCGCATGTTTGTTATGGAAAACTGAAAAGAAGTTTTGTTACAAATGATGGCTTAGTTGAAGTCTCTTCTCTTGATAATGGTTTTGTGGGAGGCGAACCAGGGCTAATGATAGGCAATTCTTTAACAAAAGTTAAAAATAACAACAGATTGCCAATTTTAATAGTAAATAACACCAATAAAACAATTAAAATTAAACAAGGCTGTCCGATTGGTAGAGCAGATAATGTAAATAAATCAACAATCGCTTCCATTAATAAAATCGAGAAAGCATGCAAAACCTCAAATCAAATTAACTTAGATCAAATTGATGTACCAGAAGAGAATAAAAAGAGAATTTCAGAGTTGTTAATTGCTAATAAAGATCTTTTTGCTGAGAATGAAACTGAATTGGGTCAAACAAGCACGGTAAAAATGAAAATTGACACGGGAGATCATAAACCAATTAAACTGCGACCATACAGAGTTCCATTAAATAAACGCCAAATTGTCGAAAAAGCAGTAGATGAAATGTTAAGTGCCGATGTCATTCGAAGGTCAAAATCTCCGTGGAGTTTTCCGATTGTTGTTGTAGACAAAAAGGACGGGTCGAAAAGATTTTGTGTTGATTTCAGACAACTGAATAAAATAACTAAATTGAATTCATATCCTTTGCCTTTGATCGATGATATCTTAGCCACTTTGGGAAATGCTAAGTATTTTTCAAGTTTAGACCTTAAGTCCGGTTATTGGCAAGTTGCAATGGATGAAGCCGACAAAGAAAAAAAACAGCATTTACTTGTCACAGAGGGCTATTTGAATTTAATGTGATGCCATTTGGGTTATGTAACGCTCCACAGATCTTTTCACAATTAATGAGTGAGGTTCTTCAAGGTTATGAACACTATGCTACCGCTTATCTTGATGATGTTTTGATCTATTCTACAACATTAGAAGATCACATAAAACATATTCAGAATGTGTTCAATAGGCTTAGGCAACATGGGCTGAAATTAAAGTTAAAAAAATGCAGTTTTTTAAAAGATGAAACAAAATATTTAGGTTTTGTTATTAATAAAAACGGAATTAAACCAGATGAAGAAAAAGATAAAGCTATTCGGCATGTACCAGTTCCAAACTGTGTTAAAGATGTAAGAAGTTTTCTAGGGATGTGTAGCTATTACAGACGGTTCATACCAAACTTTTCTAAAATAGCTGAACCACTTATTGACTTAACGAAAAAGTATGCAAAATTCAAATGGAATGAAATGTCTCAAAGAGCGTTTGATTACTTGAAAGAAAGTTTAACCGTGATTCCGTTGCTGGCTTATCCAGATTTGAACAAAGAATACATTTTGTATACGGATGCTTCTGACAAGGCGATAGGGGCGTGCTTGGTTCAAGAAACAGATGATCGAGATGAAATTATTCATGGGGTTAAAAATGAAAAGCCAATTTATTATTTGTCAAACAAACTAAGCGATACTCAGACGAGATGGTCAACGGTCGAAAAAGAAGCGTACGCAATTCATTATGCCTTACAGAAACTAGACCACTACTTACATAATGCAAAGTTTGTGATAAGGACAGATCATAAACCGTTAAAATACTTATTGGAAGCGCCAATGAAAAATAAGAAGATACAACTTTGGGCTTTGAGTATAGCGGGTTACAACTGTAAAATAGAATACATCGCAGGAACAGAAAATACGTGCGCAGATTTATTGTCAAGATTACCAGACAATCCTGAAATAAATAAAGAGGAAAATGAGGAATTTATTGACCCTGATGTAAATGATAAGACATTTGAAATAAATTTCTTAGATTCAAATTCCTTTGATCCTAAA